GTGTCACACAGGTACAAAACGTACGTCACATTCCACCGCCACAGGGTGCCGTGCTGTCACACAGATACAAAACCTACGTCACATTCCACCTTTACAAGGTGCCTAATTGTGGCACACAGATACAAAACGTACGTCACATTCCACCGCCAGAAGGTGCCTTACTGTGGCACACAGATACAAAACCTACGTCACATTCTACCGCCACAAGGTGCCTTACTGTGGCACACAGATACAAAACCTACGTCACATTCCGCCGCCACAAGGTGCCTTGCTGTCACACAGATACAAAACCTACGTCACATTCCTGCGCCACAAGGTTCCTTGCTGTCACACAGATACAAAACCTACGTCACATTCCTGCGCCACAAGGTTCCTTGCTGTCACACAGATACAAAACCTACGTCACATTCCTGCGCCACAAGGTTCCTTGCTGTCACACAGATACAAAACCTACGTCACATTCCGCCGCCACAGGGTGCCTTGCTGTCACACAGATACAAAACCTACGTCACATTCCGCCGCCACAAGGTGCCTTGCTGTCACACAGATACAAAACCTACGTCACATTCCACCTTTACAATCCGTATTGCTGTCTCACAGATACAAAACCTACGTCACATTCCTCCGCCACAGGGTGCATTGCTGTGAAACACAGATAGAAAACCTACGTCACCTTCCTCCGCCACAAGGTGCCTTACTCTGGCACACAGATACAATAAACCTGTGTCACATTCCACCGCCACGAAGTGCCTTGCTGTGGCACACAGGTACAAAACGTACGTCACATTCCACCGCCACAGGGTGCCGTGCTGTCACACAGATACAAAACCTACGTCACATTCCACCTTTACAAGGTGCCTAATTGTGGCACACAGATACAAAACGTACGTCACATTCCACCGCCACAGGGTGCCTTACTGTGGCACACAGATACAAAACCTACGTCACCTTCCACCGCCACAGGTGCCTTGCTGTGGCACACAGATACAAAACCTACGTCACATTCCACCGCCACAGGGTGCCTTACTGTGGCACACAGATACAAAACCTACGTCACATTCCACCGCCACAGGGTGCCTTACTGTGGCACACAGATACAAACCCTACGTCACCCTCCACCGCCACAGGGTGTCTTACTGTGTCACACAGATACAAAACCTACGTCACCTTCCACCTTCACAAGGTGCCTTACTGTCAGATACGAAACCTACGTCACATTCCACCGCCACAGGGTGCATTGCTGTGTCACACAGATACATAACCTACGTCACATTCCACCGCCACAGGGTGCATTGCTGTGGAACACAGATAGAAAACCTACGTCACCTTCCTCCGCCACAAGGTGCCTTACTGTGGCACACAGATACTATAAACCTGTGTCACATTCCACCGCCACAAAGTGCATTACTGTCAGATACAAAACCTACGTCACATTCCACCGTCACAGGGTGCCTTACTGTGGCACACAGATACAAAACCTACGTCACATTCCACCGCCACAGGGTGCCTTACTGTGGCACACAGATACAAAACCTACGTCACCTTCCACCGCCACAGGGTGCCTTACTGTGGCACACAGATACAAAACCTACGTCACCCTCCACCGCCACAGGGTGTCTTACTTTGTCACACAGATACAAAACCTATGTCACTTTCCACCGCCACAAAGTGCCTTACTGTCAGATACAAAACCTACGTCACATTCCACCCGCCACAGGGTGCATTGCTGTTGCACACAGAAACTAAACCTACGTAACCTTCCACCTTCACAAGGTGCCTTACTGTCAGATACGAAACCTACGTCACATTCCACCGTCACAAGGTGCCTTGCTGTCACACAGATACAAAACGTACGTCACATTCCACCTTTACAATCCCTATTGCTGTCTCACAGATACAAAACCTACGTCACCTTCCTCCGCCACAAGGTGCCTTACTCTGGCACACAGATACAATAAACCTGTGTCACATTCCACCGCCACAAAGTGCCTTACTGTGTCACACAGATACAAAACGTACGTCACATTCCACCGCCACAAGGTGCCTTGCTGTGTCACACAGATTCAAAACGTACGTCACATTCCACCGCCACAGGGTGCCTTGCTGTGTCACACAGATTCAAAACGTACGTCACCTTCCACCGCCACAGGGTGCCTTGCTGTGGCACACAGATACAAAACCTACGTCACCTTCCACCGCCACAGGGTGCCTTACTGTGGCACACAGATACAAACCTACGTCACCCTCCACCGCCACAGGGTGTCTTACTGTGTCACACAGATACAAAACCTATGTCACCTTCCACCGCCACAGGGTGCCTTACTGTGGCACACAGATACAAAACCTACGTCACATTCCACCGCCACAGGGTGCCTTACTGTGGCACACAGATACAAACCCTACGTCACCCTCCACCGCCACAGGGTGTCTTACTGTGGCACACAGATACAAAACCTACGTCACATTCCACCTTCACAAGGTGCCTTACTGTCAGATACGAAACCTACGTCACATTCCACCCGCCACAAGGTTCCTTGCTGTCACACAGATACAAAACCTACGTCACATTCCGCCGCCACAAGGTGCCTTGCTGTCACACAGAAACAAAACCTACGTCTTCCACCTTTACAATCCGTGCCTTGCTGTCACAGATACAAAACCCTACGTCACCTTCCGCCGCCACAAGGTGCCTTGCTGTCACACAGATACAAAAACCTACGTCACATTCCACCGCCACAAGGTGCAAAGTGCCTTGCTGTCACACAGATACAAAACCTACGTCACATTCCTCCGCCACAGGGTGCCTTACTGTGGCACACAGATACAAAACCTACGTCACATTACCGCCACAGGGTGCCTGTGTGGCACACAGATACAAAACCTACGTCACCTTCCACCGCCACAGGGTGCCTTACTGTGGCACACAGATACAAAACGTACGTCACAATCCACCGCCACAAGGTGCCTTGCTGTGTCACACAGATACAAAACGTACGTCACCTTCCACCGCCACAGGGTGCCACTGTGGTGTCACATTCCACCGCCACAGGGTGCCTTTACTTGCTGTGTCACGTTCACAGATTCACAAAACCTACGTCACCTTCCACCGCCACAGGGTGCCTTACTGTGTCACACAGATACAAAACCTACGTCACCTTCCACCGCCACAGGGTGCCTTACTGTGGCACACAGATACAAAACGTACGTCACCTTCCACCGCCACAAGGTGCCTTGGTATGTCACACAGATACAAAACCTACGTCACATTCCACCGTCACAGGGCGCCTTACTGTGGCACACAGATACAAAACGTACGTCACATTCCACCGCCATAGGGTGCCTTGCTGTGCCTTGCAAAACCTGTCACCTTCCACCGATACAAAACGTACGTCACAATCCACCGCCACAAGGTGCCTTGCTGTCACACAGATACAAAACCTACGTCACCTTCCACCGTCACAGGGTGCCTTACTGTGGCACACGGATACAAAACGTACGTCACAATCCTCCGCCACAAGGTGCCTTGTTGTGGCACACAGATACAAAACGTACGTCACTTTCCACCGCCATAGGGTGCCTTGCTGTCACACAGATACAAAACGTACGTCACAATCCACCTTTACAAGGTGCCTTGCTGTGGCACACAGATACAAAACGTACGTCACATTCCACCGCCACAAGGTGCCTTACTGTGGCACACAGATACAAAACCTACGTCACGTTCCACCGCCACAAGGTGACTTGCCATGCCACGTTGCCAAGCCAGTACATTCCAAGAATCGTGGAACTTGAAATCGTTAAAAATGGGTTATCATATAAATTTACCTGGACGACATATACTACACACTATATCCACTCCTCAAAAGGAATATAGCATAAAGAGTTTTCCCCAGTATTCCAGTTATATCACAGAGTGTCAACTTGAAGTCACACGTAAAGATGGAAGTCTCGGACGTTTACAACTTTCGCGAGAACCACGAGAACGGGTATGGTACTGACAAACCTTGAAACACAATCGGGGCTACGTGCTCAAAATCACAGGGTCCTGCCGTTCCCAAGGGACGCAAATCTGCACAAAAAATTGAGGAGCCTTAGATGGTTGAGCCGCCAATGTCCCAATACCATGAAGAAATCAACCTAAAACTATTTCAGTCATGCTTATGTATAATCTGTATCCACTGCGTAATAAAAGTCCACCTACTTGATGAAGTAGGAATATCATTTCCTGAAAGGTATGTATTTATTTACATAAATATGAATCGTTTTTCGTGTTTTGCATTTACAGAAATTCTGCATCTTGCTTTACTATTCGTAAAAACATATCTCTTACACTCTGCCATTCGCAACACGTTACGTGCTCAACATAAGCAGGTTTAATTATCGGCCAATTTAAGTTAATTCGACATCAAACACACCAGACAACGTTGACTCTTTCATTGAACGTTTATTTGTTTGAGGTAATGTCAAAGAAATGGCCAAATTACGTGAGAGCAGTTAATGAGAGTATTGCACGAAGCAAAGCGCCAGGCCGTCAGTCAAGCGAACTGTCAGAGCTGAGGCATCAAGCCAATTTTAAATAGAATCACACTAAACCTGTTCTGGTCTTCCGGTTTGTTCAAACAGTAACGATTCCATGGGAAGGTCGACATTGTTACAATAATTACCACAGTTCTGATAAAGGTAAACAGATACATATTCATCACCCAAAGCTCTGGTAATGTTGCTCAATAGTTTTGCACCAATCTCAAGTCATCCATTTCGTATCAATACCATTCAGCAGCGTCGGTTAATCTTCCCTTCGCCCTATGCATCACTGCACTGACAACTCTGCGTCTTGTTTCAGCAGCAAACTATAACGCTGCTTTCGACCGTAAGCAAACAATAAATAATTCCATCACATATATGCAAAGCTAAATTATTTATAACTATTGCGGGCTCACTTCGGCGGGCCAGAAGCCTTTTCAAAGATAGCAGAGTTTTAGCTTGCTGGTGCTTGTGCCGAATTTTGGACAGGTGCGAGATACTCTGTTAGCCTCTTCCTGGCACACCCCATGAGGCTTCCACACGTAACACAATTACCCCTTGCCCACGTGCACCAATGGAACAGTAACGACAATGGTTTTAGCCAAATCAATAAGGCACCAATTGTGCTGTAATATGGGCCCGTACACACAACCGCTTAAAGCACGATTGAGTTGACGTCACAAAACGGAATTGTTTGATTGGCTGCAATTTAGCGTTTATATTATGCACAACGCATAGATAATGTGTGTGCTCTCTCCCGGCAGGCTGGAAGTGTAGAATGGGGACGCAATGTTCCGTCGGAAGCGCGTATGTGTCTCCTTAACCATCTCAAGATTCAATGTGGGAATAGCCTGGCGATGGATTAATGTTAGCTCGGTGGCAGAATAACAGGAAAGTACAATGATTTTAAGGAAGTAACCAGCCAACAGAACAGCTCTGTGCGAGTTAGAACGAACGACTGTGTCAGCTTTGCGATTATCGATCTAACCGACAAAGCAATATGTCGTCCAGGCGTCCATCTCTTCCCCCCATGCCGGACTTGAGTCATCTGAGCGAAGATGAACGGAAAATCATTGAAGATGTCCTCAAAAGACAGAGAGAAGAGGAGGAGAAAGAACAAGAAGTTATCAGGTGAGAGAATACCTCCATTACAACCAGAAATGTATAGGAAGTATGCTCGCCATTTTGGATTCCGAAATGAGGCTCGCCATTGCTAATGCTGGTCGTTTTAGTCAAATATGCATGGTTATCTTGCCCGTAAGATAAGATGGCTGCATTCGGTGAAATGGCACATGCTTCCTGCTTTGAGAAAATATTATTATGCACGCTGAACGATTGTCCGTTATGAAAGGAAACGTCAGCAAATGTGCGATTCATCTCACTTCAATTTCTAAATAAGCCTCAAGATTTGGAATACTAATTATGATTTCAGCGTTAATATGCCAGCTTTCTGGCTTCATATAGGGCTAAATATGTGATTAGTATCATTTGTTAGGATAGCAGCTGCATGATATTTGTGTTAGCATAAGCAAAGTATTGAAGGAAGCAGGCAAAGCAAGCAAAATATGAGCTAAAGGTTTGGCACGAGCAACTGACAGCTCAGACGCCATATTGCCCTCGCTATGTGTGAATGAAAATTTCGTACTCTGTTCACTTTTCTTTGCACATAATACCAGATTTTGTTGATATGACATTACTATAAATAGTATGTTAAGAGTGCTATGCATGGATAAATACCTGAATATATATTAGCAGTGGATGGGAATACGAAACTATAAACATGTGTAAAGGGTAGATAACTCTTGAGCACACTAGGGGAATAGCAGACGACAGGCGACTGTTTTGTGAGTGCATGATTATTGCACTTTATGTGGGCACAATGTTTGGGATTTGCTCCATGTCAGCCATCGAACTCTTGAGGCTAAGCTATACTAATGAGTTATCTTACTAGCCAACACTTTACCACAGTGGTCATGGATCAAGTGCGGATCAGGGATTTTAAAGGAGAAGGGGGGTGCACCTAAATCATGAAGTCCAAAGGTTAAGGGGAAATGTTCCTCAGGGAAACATTTTCGGGGGTGGGGGTGTTTGGAGGGGTGGTGTGTGTGTGTGTGCGTGCCCACCCCACCCCCATACCCTCTGAATCGATGTGGGTGCTATCACAAAACATGAGTGCTCATTACAGTACCAAGCAATCAGCACCTGAATGTTTGCCCATGTGTGTATGCACAATAGCAATTTTCTCCTCAAAATGTGAGGTTTTCCTCAGACTTGATGTGCACTAGGTTATTTTGTTAAAGGAATTAGATCTAGCAATGCCCATTTTTTCCTTAACTCAAAAGTATACAGAATATTGTAAAGTGGGTTTTCATTGTCATGGGGTGCCCAGCCCTGATGATCAGGAACAGCTTCTCTGTTGGAAAGGGGATCCCAGGGCTAAGTATTGAATTGGTGGTAACACACCTAACCCTATATGGAGGCATGATAACACTGTGAAACAAGAGCCACAGCTGGCAATCTGAGCCAATTAACCCTTTTAGCTGCATCCAGTAAACTACAATGTTGGGTCCCAGTGTTTCTGTGCTCTTTTCATGGACCTGTCTGGCAATATGGTATATTGCAAAACATGTTATTAAGCGGTGGGATGATAAATGAAGTTGTTTATTGGTGACGGTGTGTTCCTACAACTCATCATATTCACTTTGATGGTTGGATGATTTATAAGAGCATATTTGTATTGTATAGTCACTAATAAAACTGAACAAATGTTCCCAACAAGTATTGATTGTGGAGTTTTCAATCATCACTATTGATGTAGATTACTATGTCCATAATTACCGACTGGACTAACAATATTGCTGCAATTACAATATATTTGGACTGATTTTCTTGTACAAACTATGTACAAATATATAAAAGAGCAAACTATGTAGGGTCCAAAATGGAGATTTATATCTCTTTCCACCCCTTTCCATCCACACACAAACACATTGAGAAATTATTGTTCAAAATTAGTATCTGTAACTATATTGTATTACTGTTATAAATATTTATCTAGGAGCAACCAATTCTCAGGATTTAGTGGGCAGGCTCAATAACTTAATTGACAAATGTCATATCCCAGCTGCATAGATTGATGCTCATAATGTTGATCATTGGATTGTCTGATCAAGACTCGACTTTTTACACACTGCTGCCATGTAGCTGGAATATTGCTGAGTGTGGCGTTTAAAAATGAGCAAACAAAAATTTACCTAGTTATATAATCTAAGTGCCTTTGACAGTTAAAACAGAAAGAAAATAAAATCCGTTCATATAGCAATCCGTTCATTGGTTGTTTAATGTCAGTGAATTAACTTCCCAAATGAACCCCTTCGCGTTCATGTACGTTTAGAGTGAGTGAGTGAGTTTAGTTTTACGCTGCACTCAGCAATATTCCAGCTATATGGCGGCGGTCTGTAAATAATCGAGTCTGGACCAGACAATCCAGTGATCAACAGCATGAGCATCGATCTGCGCAATTGGGAACCGATGACATGTGTCAACCAAGTCAGCAAGCCTGACCACCCGATCCCGTTAGTCGCCTCTTACGACAAGCATAGTCGCCTTTTACGACAAGCATGGGCTACTGAAGACCAATTCTAACCCGTGACCTTCACGGGTTGTACGTTTAGAACAGACAGTGCTTGAGAAGCTACTGAATGAATAGAGTAGTGGCATTGCAGCAACAATCGGCGATGGCCCCGCGAGTTCCTTGCAAGAATGTATTACTCGCCAAGCAAACATTGCTCATAATCTACATAGATCTATATATCACAGAACAGTTTCAGTGCAGTGTATCCTATTCATTTTCATGTGTTCTGGTATCAGTGAAGTTGACCTCTTTAAATGATGATGTTAATCATCATCATGATGTACTGACACTGAAACTTGTGTACCCTTTGGCCAAACTGGTGAAATGTCTTTGTTGACCCTGTGTTTGTCTTCACCATCAGTGTGTGAAATTTACACTGGTCCTGTTGTCCCTGGCTAGTAAAAATTCATCAGGACCACAAAATGATAAATTTGCAGTGGTTCTGGTGGCCAGTGAATTTTGTATTGAAGTAAATAGTTGAGTAAATCTATGAATGTTATTTTGGTCCAGGATCACTAATTATTGTGCACTCACTGGTCTAATGTTCTAGTGGGAAATTTTGAAAGGATTCTTTCCCTGACCATGGATGTGAGTACACAGCTTCAGTTGAAAATGTTTGTAGAGCTATCTATCATATTGTGTGTTTTGCAATCGGAAACTTTATGGAAAAACGGTGTCAGATGGTTGAAAGCTGAAGAAAGAGAATTATATATTTTCTATGTTTGAGGTAGAAACCTGTCAAATGATATGCATACTGTGGTATTGGAGTTAGTTTGAAATACTACGGCCTGTTTCAATGGCCTGAACAATCCTGAGCATTCTGGATTGGAATATGCTGCTGCATAGCCATGTTTTACAAAATAACATGGCTAATGAGTTTTGAAATTGTATATTTATTGCTTAAAAGGGGCCAACAAACCAAAACATTCCTTTCATTTCTGATTTGCAAATGTAAAGTAATATGTAGCAAAAAATTCAAAATGAGAATATGAATTATATTATGCTTACTTGAAGCTCTACTACCAAACGTAATTGCACTACAAATTCCAGACATAAACAGATAAATCAATTTTAATTAAATAAGGGACATGATTTTGTTATGGCATGGACATTGGAATTAATTGTTCTGGTAGTGACACAACAACGGTAGTGATATTTTAAATGATAGCCAGTTTTATATGTTTACTTTATAAGATAATTTAACGAAATTTGTCAGTCAGATATTTCAGGACGTTTGAAGAATATGGAATAGGCAAAAGATTTACTTATGGATGTCCCTGTCATGTAAAAAACAGGTAAAGACTTCATGTTATGGCAGTGACATTGTGACGGTATATAATGTCACTACCGTAATTCCAGGCCCCATCACAGCCGTTTTCTTCGTTACACTACCCTGTCCTTACTGTAACAAAAAAATCATACTTATATGCCTATTGAGTTTATTCATTTGATACAAAAAAAATTATGTTAAATAAGATTCCAAAACATTTGATATCTTTGAATTGAAAATTTAGATACAAACAACATTAAACTAGAAAAATGTCACTGACGTCACAAAATCTGTCCTTACCATAACTAAACCCATGATAACGGCAGTGACCGTAACGGTAGTGACAGCCACTAACAATATCAGTTTTAAAACAATAACTGGTGCCCAAAGATTACTGAGCACATGGTTTCAAACAATTTCTCCTACTGTCTAAGTACTTGGCGTTGTTTGGCTTCACAAAATTAATTGGTATCAGCGGTAGCCAACGTAACGGTTAGGACATGCAAAAATCTCAGATATCATTTTGTACACACCTTTTTTGCGATAAAATTCAGAAAAATGATTTTTTGTGTCAGTGTTTAACAATCGTGTTTCCTCACTGTCATTGCTTGCAAACATGAGGTGAGGTGAGGTGAAATTGGGTTTAACGTCGTGCTTGAGAATATTTCGCTCATATGACGACGTGCATGCGTGTGTATGTGTATGTACGGCTGCTTGTACTAGCCCAGACTTGAGCTGGTTTTATAGTGCTAGCCCACTGAGATACCATGCCGCAGTGAAGCATGAATACCCCACTCAGACACATTATACTGACTCCGAGCCGACCAGTCCTTGTTGTACCCATTAATGCCGAGCCAGGCAGGGACCAACAAGTACCATATTTTAACGTCTTTTGGTATGACGCGGTCGGGGATCGAACCCGCGACCTTCCACTCTCCGGGCAGGACGCTCTAACCACTACACCAAGGAGGCGGTTTGCAAACATGACGAAGAATCAGAAGACAGTACAGGGAGTAATCATTATTGCAATTTTTTGGATGATGTTATGGTAGTGACATCAAACCTTGTGACAAAGATTGACCAGTTTTTACAAAATGTTTTTCCGTACAACAAAGGCCAAACCATGCCAAGCATGTAGCTGTAACATCGTTAATTATGATATGTTAAAAAAATTCTTTTGAAAATATAAATAATTAACAAATGTTGAAACGAAAATGAGAAAGAAAA